ATAGTGATATAAAGAAAAAATGGCTTGTAGGAAGGAAAAAAGCTGTTGGTTTAATGGCCCCATGGATATATCAGTGAGCAGTAAGCTTCCCCACAATAGGCACCAGAGGTATTCTTGTGTTAAAGGAAATTCCTCTCCAAATCATCACAATTCAATACATCTTAAACAATACAACAGTCAGCATAGGGCTCATCGAAAGGCCACAAAAATGTGGTCTTCCCTCATATTTCTGCAGGGCAAAATTATATTTGTCAATAAATAAATTCCACCACCATTCTCTCTCCAGCTACCTCCGTTTTTATAGGGAGGTAGCTCCCTGTTATCAACATGTTATCCCCAAACGAAAAGTCGTTCTGCTGATTTGCAGGTTACAGTATGTCCTCCTGGAAATTCTCATTCTGTAGCCACAGCAGGCTGACACCAATGGGTCAGACAGATGTGAAGAGCCATGGTCCAGTGTGGTGACCTGTGCCTCACTAAGCTTTTTTCCAGGTTTCTCTGAGCACTGATTGTTGAAGCAGGCAGGGTCTTGTTATCTAGATATTATCTACAGTACCTTGGCTGTACGTTCGTCTTTGGCGTCTGGGGGTCCTCTTTCCTTCACTAATGCTGACAGCAACCAGGTAATCTTTATCACTTATGCAGGCCAAGGCTGCATCTTTCGATGTTTTTGCCCTATTTAAAATCTGTTGTTGAATAGCTGTTTATATGAGATTTTTAACTAATTTTGACAAACATAACTCAAAACTCAAATACTGAACACCAAGTACCTGGCAGTTTTAGAAAATCATATCACTTGAATACAGTATTTTAGCCCTGAGACCAACACTAATACTCAAGCAACCACCTTGTCCACTCACTTAAACATTTTTATTTTAAAATATAAATAACACACATACTGTATTCTCAATGGGCCATTAAGTTAAACTTTAGTCTTTTGAAATTTCAGTGTGCATCAGTATACAAATTCAAAAACACCAATGATAATAACTTGACCATATGGATATTACAGACCATAACATCTACCAAAATAAATTTCTATAAAGGGATTTTTAAGATCTAAAGGGGAAATACATTAAACTTACATCACCTCAATTAAGAATTAAGCCACATGATGTTAATCATGAACACATTTTTAACAGGCCCCCAAGAGATGTCTTAAGAAAACAAAGCAGGCAGTCATGTGAAAGAGATATTCGTAAATTATTAACCCGACACTCAGGAGAAAATTATTTCTTTGCAACCAAAAGTACCTGAAAATAACACAGGGATGTCCTTGTTGAGATTTTCTCTTTAAACTTTAAAACATGGAAAAACAAAGGCTGCAAATGATCCCCATCAGAAAGGTGGAAGATACCGTATCTCTGCGATGGGCCAGGGTGGTGAACCATGGAGAAGAAAAGCAGGGTGCTCATAAAATAAAAATAATTGAGAGAGCTGCTACACTCCGCTGCTGTGATATGGAGAGAGAGAAAAAGGCATTGGAGAGAGTTTTAGAGAAGGTTAAAACATCCACAGGCTACTTCGATGAAGACATGCACAACCAAAGGACTTAACATCAAAAGACCTGTGTTTTCAGCTATTCTGTATGGTGCGTACGCTTTGCATATTTTATGGAATCGGGTACAGATCTATGCTTTTCTCCCATTGATATGTGCAGAAACCTGGTTACATAGCCCAGTGAACTAAAAGAGATTTAAAGTTTCTTGCATCTGTTTGGAAACTCTGTAGAATTTCAATTGTCTGAAACTTGTGGGATAACATATTAGCAACTGGACTCATCATTTTATAATAGCATAGGTACCCTCAGGTGAAACAAAAGAAGGCTGGATATACAAAACTATTATTCCTATTGAACAAGCTTTAATTAAAAGGGATGACAATGTAGCAGAAACACATGATCTTCAAGCTCAAAACCCTTTTGCATGGATGTTAAACACGCAACAGAGCAGATAGCCCTCTGATGTCTGTGACCTCACAGTTCAAAGCTTTTCATGGACCTCTGGACTTCACTGTACAGTATATGCCTCTGCCAAAAGCTTTGTTCATGTGTTCTTTGTTCATAATAAAATAAAACTCCAACATTGTTCCTCAGAGATATGTAGTGCCTGCATAACAGCAAAAAAAACCTGCATGGAATAACAAAGACTTTTTTCCCTCTAGATGTGATTCCAAACTTCAAAACAATGCAACAGATTAATACTGTCACCTAATTTATATGGAACATACTAAAGATAAGAGACCTTTTGAAGTTTTAGGACATCTTTTATGTCCATTTTCCACTTATAATTCTACATCTTATTTTTCTGTTGTTGCTGCTGCTGATGTAACTTTAAGGTACAGTATACTGTATACAACTGTATTACCAGAAACAATCAACCAAATGATTAGAGCGTATATTTACACTATACTGATTGTTTCCATTAATAAAAATATATTTCTTTCTGATCTAAAATAGTCTTATTTTATTATCCAGCTACTGTACCTCCAGCACCATCTTAAAAAGTGCCTCAAATACTGTACAAACACTCCTCTTCCTTGTTTTTTATTTTAAACACATTTTAAATTCATTATTCATTATTTACAATCATAAAGCTCACTTATCAGACAATACATGTTTGTGTTTTTAAGAAATGTTCATTTGTAGGGATTGCAGGGAATAAATGTTCAGTTTAGCTATGTAAGCAACTGGGAAAAGATCCGTGTTTGTCATGAAACCAAAAAGAAGAGTTCTAACAGTACTCAGTGATGTTTCTAATATTGTGGAGAAAAAAAGAATGGCTTGTCAAGACTTAAGATACTGGGTAAGTTTAAAAATGCTTGCGAGTGCCTTTTTTCAGCACATTCTTCGTATTCTTCTTGGTATATAAATTCTCAGATGGAATTCAAGTCAGGTATCCTTTCTTTGACAGTTTTTTATGGCAGCAATAAATATTGCAAACAAGAAATTACAAATACTCTTTGCAAGTTATAACTGATGATAATGTATTCTTTAGTCATTTCTCTTATACTTTTAAAAAGCCATTTCAATAAATTTGCAGGGCGGTATAAAGAGTTACCCTTCAGTTTCTGTTCCATGCACATTTATAGTGGTTGCCTTTTTAAAAAAATCTCAGTTTAATTTAAAAAAATAACTTCCTTTTGAAAGATAAACCAGATTTTCCAACTCCTGAACAATAACAGAAAAGAATAAGACTGTGTAATATCATAAATCAATTCTAAAATGTATATTCTAATCTAAAAGCATAATTACAGTGGTAACATCAAATATTTTTAAAATAAATACTTTATCTTTTCAAGTGCACTGGTGTTCAAGTGCTCTGGTTATTAAATAGTACTGTAAATTAGTACCATACATTTTTAAAATTACAAAGAAAATACAGTATAGTTGAATGTAAATTCCATCCCTAACATAAATATTTTGCAATCATTCAAAACATTTAAGTGAGTAAATTAAAGTAAATCAAGCAATTTTAAATGTATTAAAATGTGCACGTGGATCATGCTCAAATTGTTGATAATCACACAACAAATTTGAAAGCTTTATTTTTTTCAACATTGAGTTCCTAAAATTGTATTACTGTACCTTAGTATTCAGCAAATTGTTTAAACTTGTAGTCTTTTAAATCCTTGCCAAGTAAATATTACAGATCTTTAAAATGAACGGAAATGCCTTGTTTTTTTATATACATTATCTAAACTCTACTGCTGCTTTAAAATTAAAATTTTGGAATTTACATCACCACCATATGTACAGTAGTATACATATTGAACACTGTTGTGACTTCCTGTTGCAGTAAAAAGGATTTGGCCATTAGATATTGCTACCTTCTATTCATGAGTTTGTGTGTATTTTTCCTCATCATAAAAAATGCAGTAACTTAATTTATTGTTCCTAATGGAACTAATTCCTACAAGCCCATATATTGAAATGGGAATGTATTTGGAAAAGGGGAATTTCAAATTGGTTACCAGTTCTTGTAGTAACAGGTAAACCAGTAAGACACAGAGAGGAGAAGGCCGCATTGTATATGTACTGTACAGGAATCCAAACCATCAGGACTCTGAGGGGTTTGCCTCGGGTAATAGTTAGACATGTCAAAGAGTGGAGAAGGGAGGCTGAGATTCACTAGCTAGGCTAGTGGTACTCACGTATCACAGGGGACATAAGGGCATGGTGTTTTTTGAAGTTAAAAGTGTGGCTGGAAGACAATACAGAAAAATTGTGATCCACAAAATCTCTGGAGTGCTTTCTGAAACATAAGGTAGGACTGAGAGACAGCTCATAGTGTTTTCATTGCATAGAGCATAACTGAACTGCACTCCCAGAATTAAACCTATAGAGAAGTGGTTAATATTTTTTTTATTTTCTGTTTTCAATACATGTGTCATATATAGTATATATATATATTGGAGCTTGTTCTCAGTATAGTGTAGGGTAGTGTAGTGTAAATGACAAATTAAATATTTCATTTAGCAAGAGAACAAATGTGGACTTGCAGTAGAGGATTTTTAAAGTGCCCCCCAGTGAAGTAAAACATAAGATCAATTGCAAAAAGATTAACTTATAAATTAAATGGTGTATTCCAAATGGTTTTCAATAAATATAAAAACATTGCAGTTTCTCATCTAATACTAATTAATGTCTGATAAGTGAATGTGATCCTGGGATCAATAGCCTCAAATGGTAATGTAGGAATCAAAAGAGATAGTTAAAGCAGGTTGAAGAGTGAATTTTGGGTAAGGTTATTCAGCGCATCTGCCTTCACATTTGCTTGAAGTTCCAAGAAAATAATTTAATATTCCACAATATCCTCCTTGGGTAAAGATTGTTAGCAACACTCCAAGTTCCTGTTGGTATGGTAATGAGCAGCTTTAACATTTAGCATTTTTTTAACATGTGGCTGTGGCTGTTCTATACCAGTAATATAGGTTGGAAAAAATAAAAACTATTAATTGAAAGTACTTCTGTTAAGCTAAGGAGCATATCATGTGGATACACAATGGAAAATATAAGAATGTGAATAAAGTGCAGTAGCACTGTCTTCAAGGAAAAAACATCTTCAACAACTTTATTTTCTTAAAGCTGAAATAGATTGTTCAGTGACAGAGAAAACTGTGGTGTATGCACTGTTTATTTAGTTACCAGGTAACATGACATAGCATGATATTAAAACATTTTTTCCTCATCTGAAAAACAAAATTGATGAGGAAGCATAACATAATCTTTATAAAAAAACAGCATCTTTGTTGTACAAACCATTGATGGTTTTTCTGGTTTTGAATTCATAGTACAAAAATGAAATATACAATACCACAGTGTCATAAAGCGTATGCTGGACATTCATCGTATCTCTGACTGTATGTATTGTATGTAGATATCATGGACTCAAAGATAATGTGTTATATAAGGAATTAAGAGATTCAATTCTTTTTTTTAAATAGTAACGGATGAAAAGAACATTAAAGTGTTGATACCCTGGTAGATACTAACCTTGACTAAATATTATGCTATAAACAAAAGTCAGGTTTTTCTCCTGTATAAATGCTTTATCAATGAATAAATGAGTGCAAATATCTTCTCTGTTTTATTTTTACAAAGTGCCATTTGCCACCCCTAAAGTAATACTGAATCAAATAAAATCTTTCTCTGTACTTCCACCGAGCTTGTCCGAGACCCCCTGCTACACAAAACTTTCTTCCATGTTGGAGCAAAGCAGAAACGAGTCCACAAGTCTTGGTTTTATGAGCTGCTGGTAGTCGATGTCTTCAATGCTTTCTGGGCACCCAGCCGCCAGTCTCCTCAGGGCAGCCTGCAAATCGGGGCAAGAGGACCCACTCATGAGAGAGCAGGCGCGGACACTGTTTTGCGCGATGAGAGTTCTATTGTTTTAATTGATGAGACGTGCATGCTCCCAGAAGAGGCCTTTTCTGCCCTCTTTGTAACGTGTCAAGTGCAGATTGGCAGAAGGCTGTGGTCAATTGTACTTTTTACATTTCCTGTAATTTGTTTCAGTAGGACAGTACTACATGGGACAGAATGGAAAGTGAAATTGCCTAGAGAAATCAGGATTGTGATTTCTATTTCTTGTGTGATTTCAAAATCTGAAACTGACATATGTTTTTCATGAGTAGTTGTGATTGATGCAATACGTTTTAGTCTGGATAATAACCGAGTGGATGCAGATGCATATTCTCAATAAAGGAAATGAAAAAAAGATACTGAATGATCTACAAAAAGTCTCATTGTTGAAATCATGGTGTAAGCTATAAGATACTGCATGACTAGTAGTACTGTACTTAACCATATAATAAAACAGACAAATACTGTTAAAAACAAAAACACTGCAGGTTAGACCTGCATCTTTACTACAATTTAGCACTCAGGGCACTGACAAAACCTTTGTGATACATGATAATATAAAATGCAGCTGCATTTACACTAATGAACTCTGATTATACAGCAAAAGAAGAAAATTGGCTAAGTCTAGGATTTTACAGTGACATGATTTGGAAGTGTAGTTCGGCTATTCTATGAGCATCTGTTCATTCTCTAAATATGAAAATCTGCCAATGTTATATACTGTAGGTGGAATATCCACAAAATCAGATGAAATTTCTATAGAGAGATGTAAAAACCTACCAGACAGGCAACTAACACAGAATCACTGCTGTTTCTCTTGGCAGGTGAACGGCAGAGCTCTATTAGACGAGGGATACCTGAAAATAAAACGTTTCTACAAGTTACAGCTCTGAACGATAAAGACTACTTGTATATTATTTTATATTATGTTTATACATAAGCCATAATGAAAAACACTGAAAGCTGTACAATATGTACTAGATAAATACAGGCTTAATAATGTGATGAAAGCAAAGTGAAGTTTATGACATTTCTCTCTTAATTTCCAATCAACTGGCATACTGTATGAACAAAATCACAGAAATCATTCTGTTTCTTTATGATTTTAAATTATTTTTACTCTTTGATAGCAAACACAGTTTAATTGATCCTCATAAGACAAACAGTATCTGCAATGTCTAAGCAGAATTAAAGTTAGAACTGTTATTTTTCTTCTCTCTTTTCATTTAGTCTACACTATGTACAGTATAGCAACCTTTCCCGTATTTGTAATAAGAAAACACAGTACTGCAGCTCACAGTTGAGTTGTATGGCAGTCTGGACTACATCATTATCCCTGCTTAGACGGGCCAGAGTAACAGCAGCTTTCTGCTGCACTCGCTCGCAGGCAGCGCCCTCTGCTGGACTGGAAGAGGAAGGTTTTTCAGACAGGAGTAGGAGCAGATGCTCAATCCCTACACATAAAATAGAAAAACAGGTCTTTGTCCTTTCATTCTCTCAAAAGTAATCTGAATAAATTAAGACATTCTGATGCATGCATAATTAGTAACATTAATGAACATAACAATATTCTAGTCCTCTATGCCTACTGATTATTGTAATTTGTTAATTACTGCTAATACAGTAATTTACATTAATACATTTAAAAAGGAAATTTTGGATTGCTATTGTGATAAACTGAATAAGCAATTATAGCCAAACATGAAAATTTTAAATTTTATAATAATTATGAAAGATCCAGTGGAATCCTTCCTGTGAAAAACCACATTATGCAAGGTTTGGCAGGTAATGAATGAAATTGTACAGCTCTGGATTTGTGTTTAATTGCACTGTATTGAATCTTTCCATTCAAGGAACAAATGGTTTTGTGCAAATGCAATCTAAAGTAGATAGTGCAGAACAAGGACTACTGGACCTTTATAAGAGAATCTAATAATGTTAACCACTGACCCTGACAATCATTCTTATGAATAAAATATTTAATTTGTAACACATGTGCAAATATTGAATAAGCTTGGTGAAACAGGTCTTTTGTTTTGAACATTTCTGACAGTGTTTCTGACTGGAAAGGAAGTGGGAGAAATCCATAGTTCTTTGTCACCATCTTGAGGTACATAGAAAAATTGCAAGCACAGTTAACACCTTAGCATTGCACCTTATTCATTATTACTGGATGAATAACACTGTAGTAGTCTGAGAGCACAAAAAGGTATGTGAATACCATACAGTACATACCTTTTTCTTGCAAGACCTCTGATGAAGCCTGCTCAAGAACAGATATATTTGCCAGTATTGTCACAACCTGATGAAAGAGAAGACACAAAAAGAAAGGTTTAAAAGCTCGGGTAACATAGGCACAAAACAGGTGTCCACACTTCTCAACAGAGCTTGATTTTAAAATGTAAAGGTGGAAGCTTTGCTCTAGTTCTCACATACTGTATAAGCAGTGATACTCAGGTGTTTTCAAGAGCAAGCTCCATTTCATATAAAATTAATTCTGTATCTGTATAGTCTGTATTCTGTATAGTCAACAGTTAATCTTCCCCTCTTTCAGCATGCTCAGCCTGTGTGTTGATCTAGCCCTCACTGCATAATTGTGAAGAGTGCTCATTAACACTGCTTTATTGCCTATCCTTTTTGTCATTTATGGCCAACGACAAGGAAAGGCAATTATAAGTCTTTGCAATATTGTTCTGTTAATCTCCACTGTTGAGTCAGTTCCAAAAGGCATTACTGCGCACAGTTCCATTAACTTCATCAGTAATTGCATTTGTGCAATTACAAACAATATTACCCTGGACACAGTAATTGTTTGTCTGAGAGGAAAGTAAAACTACACAACGAACTCTCAGACATAATAGTGTAAAAATTTGATGTCTTTCCATTAGACATCTGACATTTCCTGACCCCAAAACATCAGTGTACCCAGGACATATTCTCCTGATTGTTGGACAGATGCACAGACGTGTCCTTGGGCACTGCACTCCATATGTGCTGTATTACTGTATGTGGTGAATTACCCTTCTGCTGTCAGTCTGAACTTCAAATGATCTCTGTCACAGCTGCCTGGTTTTGTGATGTCATGGCCATATGAATTGAGATTAAGACTTAGTGCCAGAGATCAGCTGGAACCAGGCCTCCATACACCAACTCAAAACTTAAGTGTTTTCTGGATTTCTCTCTAGATTATATCCTTACATGCACTAGCAAGATAGGCTGAATAGTCTCCTCCCTTTTTGCAACTTTTATTATGGTCTAAAAGCTCAGTTATTTAATTAAGACTTTCATCAAACTGAAATTAATTTAATTTTAAGTAATTTATAAACATTTGTGACAAAATATCCAACTGAGAAGTGCAAATAATTCAAAATAACCCATTGGAATGGAGTTTCAAAGATCCAGTTTAGAAATTCCTCACATGGAGAACAATTTGGTTTCATTTTGCTACTGGAATATACTGTATATTCGCAGAAATATCTCTTTGCCAGCTAACAACTGTTGACTGCAGTGCATCTAGCTAGTGTGCAAACATACTGCACCTCAGTTTTCATTCCATGTACAAGCATGGTAAAACATTAACACCCATCTGCAGGTTTATCATATTTTCCTGCAACATCTGTGCTTCAAAGATATTTATTTACAATTTTCGCAGTACTGTACTCTCAATGGCTTTGACATGCACTGTTAACTAGAGCAGCAATTTGTGCATAGAATACCGCTTCGTGATAGTGAATCAGTCGTTTGATTTTGAAGTTGCAAAGATACAGCCTATGAAGCTTTCACTTAGCAGATCATGCACAGTACAGTATATCAAGGAACCAAACACATCCGAAATATATGATTATGACCTTGTTAGGTACAGTACTTCAGTCAAACATACTGTATGGTTAGATGGAGTAGAGGAATTTGTTTTCTTGGCTTAAGTGAGTGAAAGACTATCCAGCTATGAGGAAGGCTGTTGGAATCCCTTTCTATATAAGGCATAAACCAAGAAGCTGCCACAAGGGTAAAGTTGGGGTGGAGGGAGGGATGCAAAACAAACCGTGCAAGTGGGTAAAATGGAAATGTAATATTTATACATACAGTAGGTAAATGGAAGCCAAATGGACCAAAATATTCGTTTAAAGCTCCATAAATCAAGTAAGAATAAAATAAAAAGAAAATCATTTTTCAAGTCCCCGTGAGAAAAACGCTAAAAACTTAAATCTTCATAGGGACAAAATAAGGTAGCAAAACCATGATTTTCTTTTTTTTTCCTTCCTTGAATCATATATTAATGTTGATTCTGATTGATGTTTTCCTCCTTAAATAATGAAAGAGTTTGAAAGAACAAGCGAGCATACACAACATGGAGTGCTCCATGAATGATTTATTACTTTCAAAGAAAAATAACATTTGACAAAAATGCAAAAGCCTTAAATGGAAAGGTCAAACAGAAATAAGAAAACTCGCAACCCCAAAAGGGATTTCAAGTGTTGTATAATGTCTCACAATGCTGAGAGTAAAAAATCTCACTTCACTGTGGAAGAGACAAAAGACCGTTTGTGAATGGTTGTCTCATAATATGACTACCTCCTTAAAAGCTAACCTTCTGCATTTTGGAGATCTATATTGTGGATTATTTTCCTCTCAACGTGGCAATAAAAGGGTGATTTTCTGAGTGTGTTAATGCTTGCCAATTTCACTAAATTACAGTAGTTTATAGTGATGGGTTTATTTTCATTTGTCACATAACTGTTTTTTTACATTTAATTTAATGATCCAGAAAGAAAAGTGTATTCAAATCTTGTTTGTGGAGAATGTAAAAATGAAATAGGGCCCTTTTAAGATATTGAAGTTACTTTAAAGGACATAAATGTCTTAAACTAGAAAACTTTTATATGTGTTGCTTTGTTGTATGCCATTCATCCACTTTAGTCATTAAAATAAAAAAGAAGCAGCTTTGTGATTCAGCACCATTTAAGTACAGTAATTGACTGTATTAATGCAACCCCATTAAGTTTAAATTAATTAATACAATGTTTTTAATGCATATTTTAAAATGTTCTATTTAAACATAATTTAAAGTAAGAATTAAAAGTGTATATACAATATAAAGTTATGTTAGCACAAAATATAAGAAAATGTATATATTATTATTATTAATGTTATATTATTCTACATTATTATATTATGTTAACAGATAAATGTGAGTTCCACATATACTTATTATGTGTGACACAGATACTGTAGTTTTACGTTACCTTGTAAGCATTCCAGAGAATGGGGAGAAAAGTTATTTCCGTGACGATGTCTTTTTACCTGGTCTTTCGAGTAAGGTGTATCTACTCTCTTGCGATCACGACAAGCTTCAAACAGGATTCGAACAGCATTCAGCTGCATGAGAATTTCACAGGCCATGGTATCGAAGAAGGTAATGTTAGCCAAAGCTGCAGATGCTAATAAGAACACCTCTCCAGAGGATGCATTCTGGCAAAGTTCTGGAACAGAAACAAATCAATCATTTTATTAGTTCTGTTAAAATATTCTATGACTCTAATTTGTCTTAATCTAGTAAAGTGCCACACACTTGATTTCTCAATAATAATAATAATAATAATAATAATTATTATTATTATTATTATTATTATTATTAATATTATTATTATTAGTAGTAGTTGTAGTAGTAGTAGTTGTAGTTGTAATTGTAGTAGTACTGGTGCCATAATAATAATAATAATTCTTTCTATGTGCTTTATTTGTGTGATCGAAAAAATCTTAAACACCACTAAAAGTTTCTTGAGATAATAATAAAATATTTTACGTACATTTAGGCAGAACAGCACTTCATAAATCTAACCTTACACCTTGCAAAACAAAGTTTGCAAGCATGCAATAATCGGGGCAGAAAAAAAAAAAAAGAATGAGTCCAGAGCTGCGAACTCACTGATGAGTGCCGTCACAATGTCTTCCATGTTCTCCAGAAAGCTGCTGAGATGCTGTGTGAAAGTGTGATGTGGAGACGTAATCTGAGCCACTACAGCAGCAGCTTCAGCACGTGCTGCTTCAGCATTGCTCTCATCTGTGAGGATATCAGCCAAACACAAGATCCCATCCACCTGCACAACAGATGTGTTCAACACTTCGTCAGTCACTCGACTGGGAAAGTCATAACAAACTGTCCGTTTCACACGTTTACATTAGAATCAATCACTAAATAAAATGTTTTTACAAACACAAAAAAAAGAAAACACCAACTTTCACAACACAGCAGTTTTCCCTTTTTGCTCACTAAAGCGTTCTGTACACATATAATACTGCTGTAGCTCTGTTACTGATTTATGTTCATTTTTCTATGTTGGAAAAGCGTGCAAGTGCAATTTCAAGTAAAAAGACCTAATTCTGTCATGCAAATATCACCTCCTATAGCAACATTACTTTTTACCTTTGTAGATCTGTAACAGGTTTGTTAGCAAATCCACAAATTCGATAAGTTAAGTAATACTGTAACTGTAAAGAGGAGGGCCTGACAGCCACAGCACGTGAGGTCTACTGGTTCTTCAGTCGACCACTGATCTTAATTACTTAATTGAACTAATTGTTTGGGTTCTATGCCAAATCACTTCTTTTTTCTACATGTCTTATTGCTTTGAAAAAGAAACCAAAATCCATTTGGGTTGTACAGACAAGTTTACAGACACATTTTCATGTTATAATGTTCCTCTGTTCTCTATCAGCACATCAGGGTTGCTTTTATACTTTACTACACTGTGGTTAAAAATACAAATGAGTAAGAAACACAAGAAAAAAGACACCAAAGAAGACACACCCAAAACACTAAATATTAAGAAGGGGTTGGGAACTTTTTAAAGAAATTACCTTCCTTTTAATAATTTATACAAAGTATCTGTAAAACCTGTAAGTATATGGGACTTGAAATCTGAAATTGTCCAACTCTGGTCCAATTCATGGAATATTTAAACAGAATATTGTATATTTTTATAGATTATGAATCCTTAAAGAATGCATTAAACAATGGATTATTGGAGTAGGAAAAGAATATTTTTTCCTGAACAGGCAGAATGTCTAAAACACATCCTGCTTCCATGCTTATAAAATAGAACTTCAGTGGAAGCAGAATTGTTGCACATAGGCTTATGTGAATCAAAATCTTGGTACCACATTACAATACTTCAGTTATGCTGTTAGGGCATAACCTATGGGTCATGAAAAATGGGTCGTTCAGTTACAGGAAATGCAGCTTTTTGAAAGCAAACCACTCTTTGGAGGGAAACATTCAGAAAAAATTCAAGTGAAGCTAGCTCAAGAGAAGCATGTGTCACTGTGTATCTGTTTTTTCTATTATCTGTATACACGGAGATGAATTGTACATACTGTACTTATTCAGGACCATACAGTACATACTGTAAGGCAAAAATGAGCTAAGTGCAATAACAATGCAATAGCACAATTCAACACATAATACATATAGTACAGTATATTTTTACAATCATATAGTTTCTTACTTAATTGTGATTTTCTTGATAATAATTATATTTAGAAAAATGCTGTAACATGATATTTGTGAAACAAAAATGTAAGCGACCAACTTATTACATTGGGGAGACACACATGTTGATGAAATTTTGGGTACATCCAAAGTGCTTGCTGTCATTGTTCTGGCAAATGGCCGACATCTTTAATTGTCTCATGATATATTTAAGTAAGACAGCAATGTAATCTAATAAAAACTGTTTTATAGCTCCAGAGAAATTGCTGTTACAAGCGTTTTTATAATTACTAACTCAATGAAAAGAACTCTGGAAGCATGCCAGCCTTTTATTTTAATTCTGATTGAACATCATTTAAAATGTCAGAAGGACAAGGGACAAACCTGGCATCAGGTACTGCAAGACAGTTCACTGGAGATGACAACCCGTTTTTGATTAATTGCATTCAAGATGACAAGCAGAGTTTTTATATCTTAAATTCAATACAATAGCTTAACTAATCTATTTGATTTCTTAGGAATGTATAGGAATTCTTCTTGTGTCCTATCTAAACTTTGATTGCAGCCAAAAGAGCTGTACATTAGCCTCCAGTACTAATCCAAATAGAAAACCTAACATGCACCCCACACAAAAGTGAGACTAGTCAGCAGTAGGGCCTTCTTCAGGTGTGTGGGAGAATGGAGGAAGGAGCACGGATATGAGGCTTAGGGGTAGATAAGAAACACAAGAGAAAAAGAATGTGAAAATGGGTAAAGATGGTGATATGGACTGTCCAAATGAATTTGAAATCTGGGAGGCAAGTTCCAGGGGAAATATGTAAAAGTGTTTATAAATTCGGAGAGAAATGAGCTGATACAGTACATTTACAAAAGGCCAGCAAATTATGCATTATGCAAAGTGCGACAGCAATGCAGGTACTACAGCATACAAAACGAAACAATAAACAGTGTACAGACTACTGTATACAGGCAGTGTAGACCACCAAGCAGCACTGAAGGAAACCCTGCTGGGCTGCACTCAATGTCTGGAATTACCTGTAAACCTGTATGTACAGTAAGCTGTAAACCAAAGGATCTAAGCTAACTTTGTCTTACAAAATCTCCAGCACTGCCAATCTGAGAGTCAAGGGCACACTAAAGAATACAATACAACCTGAGAGAAATGAGAAGTGATATAACAGAAAAAGTGAGACATTGAATTCTAAAATAAATAGCTAAATCCCGATAGGAAGTTTGAATAAAGATGAGGAGGGGGATGTGACAATAAGAAAACATGCAGTGTACTCTATAGTGTTAATTTGTATGTAATGAACAAGTATCTTTATAGAGAACTTTTTCACCATCTTTTTCACATGATGGCAGTGTTGTACAGCACAACAAAAGAACGGAAGCTGACGGTTATGAGTGAATAATGCACACCAGAATATGCTCTACATCATAAAAGGGTACAGTAACAGAATAGCAGAAACATTTTTTAACTACAACACTAAAGAAATGTAACATTGTACCACAATGGAATTTCCAGTAGTACACTTACAGTACTGTAGTACACCGTATGAAAAAGCTTCAATGTATTGTAACTCCCAAAGGCAGGTTTTAAGAAACAATTAACAGCACCAGTTTCTCATCATCATGCCTCATGGGTATTTTTCTTATTTGCCAGCCTTTGTATTTTGAATAATCTTAATTCTGAATAATGTTCAGCCTTGTGTTTATAAAATAGTGCATAATGGAATGAAATTTGTAGTGGTTATATTATTCTATTATGTCTCTATCAGCACAAAAGTTATTATGCATTTTTAGCATTCCACTTTACCAGAAATTCTGCTAATGAAAATTATTGTGTTTTAGAGTTTCTGTTTAGTTTTCTTACTGTACCAGATTCCATTGTTTGTTGACAGGCTGACAGCTACAGATTTATGTGGGGAGGATGTAAAAAAGAGCCAATTCTAAAACAGATATTTTTTTCTCTTTCACATAAAAAATAAATATATAACTGTTTTTAAGCTGCATTTTGCATCCTTATCCATGGGGCGGTGTGGTGGCTCTGTGGCTAAGGATCTGCGCCTGTGGCTGGGAGGTTGCTGGTTCGTATCCCGCAGCCCGCAGAGGAATCCTACTACGTTGGGCCCCTGAGCAAGGCCCTCAACCCCAACTGCTCCAGGGGTGCTGTACAATGGCTGACCCTGCGCTCTGACTCCAAGCTTCTCTCCCTCTCTGTGTGTCTCATGGAGAGCAAGCTGGGGTATGGGAAAAGATAATTCCTAATGCAAGAAATTGTAAAGGGTTAATAAAGTGATGATATTATTAACTTATCATGTTAAGGAATAGAATTTAAGAATAGTAGGGGATTTTTTCTAACTTTCTTATATAAAAAGATTCAAGTAAAAACAGAATTTGAAAAAAGTACTTTTTTTCATTACTGAAGTAATTACTATACTTATTGAAAATTAAATTCTAAGCTACTCAAGGCTGTTAGATTATCTGGCTAGGTTTATTTGACTTGCACACACCTCGGGCTAGTATTTCATTGAAACCACTCTGGATTGTTTTCAGTACAGTACATCATCTGATTCTCAAACCCTGGAGAATTTGTCATAAAATGGAATTAAAAAAACTTGCTACCCCTCTTCAAAAGGCATGATTACTTACTTGAAGACTCATTTTTTTCTGTTATTGAACTTCTATAAGAACTTTGATATGTAAATTTCTTTCATACAATATTTATTTTTTATTTCAACAACATATACTGTATATTTATCTACATATTTCCATGTTTTGAACATGCTATGTACAGTAGCTGAGGAACATAGGTTTTAGCTATGCAATATCCCTACCAAAACAAAATTATATCATTCATATACCATTAAAATTCATGTTATGTTGTAAAACACAAATCAGTAATTCATCAATAAATAAAAAGTCAGTAATAAATTACAGAAATACCTATCAAATCATACACACCTTATCTGCCTACATACATTTGCCTTCAGTAAAGGAATTAGGCAGAACATAATTATTAGTTATGTTTATACAGTACAATAATGTTTCGGTAATTTTGTTTGTGTATGCAACATAAATTTTAGCAAACAGAGACAGCTAGGGAGTTTTAATTCAGTGAACTGAAAAAGAGAAGAATCAGTCATTTTAATTTTATTACCTCATCCGTTGCCCTACCTGCTATTTTTTTTTCCTCACAGACAGGTGTTTTTATCAAGGCTCATTGATCACTTATGTTCTACTTGTAGCCTTCTCTAACAGTTTCTCCTGAGACGGTTTTGTGCAAAGTTCTTTAAAGAAGCAGCATTGTGTTATTTCATTTTTTATAACTACATGGCTGCCTGAAGCTGTAAGGTTCTGACACACGTTATTGTAACAAGAAGATTCAGTAAGAGAAAATCATCTTAGTCGTTAAATATAAGGTGTTTGGCCTTCCCCATTTCCCTCTTTCTTGTCATACGTTAGCGTGTGTAAAATTGAACCACCAGTGGGGAAAGGTACTTCTATAATCCAATACAGTTAGAATCAACTTGCTTAAGGATTATTATTTTAAATTAATACAGAGTTGGAGGAAATTGCTTTTAAGAGGTAATGTATTATACAGTAACTTTGTACAGCTATACTGTACATGCTTTATAGATTACTGTCAGATCTAAGTCCTTTGTTTTCCTTTTTCTGGAGAAACAAAAAATCTAGGAAAAGATTAATGGAATATCCAAATATAACAGACAACCTTTTTCCAGTTGTACAGATCTGATTCTTAAATCATGTTTACATTTTTAAAATACTCCACAGAGAAGTGCCCTAATAGTTCCTTATTAAATGAAGCAGATATGTCTGTGCAGTTCCATCATTCACTACTTTTATTTGCATAACATTCAAATGTCAGTTAGAAAGTTTTTTACACTAATCGTGTAAATTGGGGCAACTAAGACAATGTACACACAATACTGTATGTTTGACAAATATTTATTGTAATACATACAGTAGACAAAACAAATGTAAGGGATTTAACAACTTTTAAGAGCTGTTGTCATGCTGTATTACTACATACTGTAGGGAACTTCCTTTTAAAAAAACTAATTTCAATGGCAGGCTACACTAGAACACTGAAATGTGAATTGTGAAATATCTCAATTGAAATATCTGATAACTATACTGTAAATGGTAAATCAATATTGTTTTTTCTTTTGTGTGGTGTGATAAGCTTTTATGTGAAAGCTATTTCAAGTGCCTCTTGTCAGTGATTCATTATATTTTCTGAGTGGTATAATAAAAGCCAGATTCAGATCTATCATGTGAAAAATATGTGCCATGCTTTAAAAAAATATTAAGGCTTTTATTTTCTAGTCACTAGTCACAAACAAGGCGTAATGGAATTCATAGCTAGGCTTAGTGTTTATGATTTGAAAGAAATCTTTAGGATAGTGTCAGTTGTAATTTATTAAGCAATTGAATTTGTGTGTATTTTATTTTAAAATGACTGCCACATATTTCAGTTTTAAAAATCTCATGCCAATTGAGTTTTTGGTGCTGTAGTACCATTCTTTTTTATTTGCTTTGGCATTAGAATACCCAGAGCACTGAAGCATACTTTTTAGCCATATGTATCAAAACACAATAGTATATTTTCTCTTGTAAATGCCCCTAAAGTCCGATAAAGAACAAAGCTATGAATGCAGCAATATTTTAAAAAAAATGTTTGTGTACATAACATATCATGGGAATTTTCCTTCTTGGCAGGCACTGTTTGAAATACAATCCACAGAGAATTCCTCCACTTGATTCCTTTCACAAAATTAACATTAAATTGTATCCAATTATAGCTACTTGTGAGAAAACAGAGAGGCACAGGAAAACAATCATTTGCCTTGAGAAGCTGTGCTGATTTTTAAAAAGTTTCTAGATTAATCTGACAGCGTCAGATGCAACTGAAAATACCCCAATATTCTTGTTGTGATCAAGTTCTTGCCTAAGAATATTTTTCAAAACAAAAGTCACAGGGCTTAAAGCCTGCTAACAAAACATGATAAGATCTCCTTTGACTGGAAATCTCCTGTAATGCACCAACATACCATTACAGAAAATACCATGTGATTGTCATGAAAATATTCATGACAATCACAGAAAGCTTAAGGAGTAAAGCTGAAGTATTTGTAATTTCACTTACACAGATATATGCAATGTCTATGACATTGTCTATGACTATTACATTAACCATGAATAAACTTTATCCTAGAAAATTATGTTATTGATTCATCAAAATGTTGAGACATTACAATTTGACAGTAGTACTGTTGAATATTGAATTCTGTTTTATTTTTAGTGTGCTTGTAAAACAGGTAAGGTGATGATGCTTTAATTCTTCTCATCCTTCACCTTAACATCCACACTGAAATCCTCATGCCTGAGCACAGACATCAAGGAATTCCTATGGGACTCTAATAAGCACTCTACACTAGGACCTGAAAGACGTAGTCCACTGCGGGCTAACATGAACTCATGAAATTAGTTTTACTTGCAATGCAAAGCAACCCACTCAGGACAGAGATGCCACTAAACCTGATATTACTACAGTCACAATTTACAGCTGCAGGTCATGTACTTATGAACATATGTTAAGATGTACTTGTCAGAAATCTAGAAAAAATACGGTTAAATTTGCTCTTTGATTGATATATTTGATTGATATATTTGCACTCTTTCTATGGGGTTTACTGATGACATCAAAGAAATAAGAGTAAAATAATTTAATTCGAAACATCATTATCCTCTCTAAAGATATATTTATCAGTTTTAAGATACTGTAGAAATCAGCTCTTACACTCACCATCAATGACTATGATAAATCACCTATAAATCCCTATGTAGAGTTGTGTCTGACATTCCAGTACCTTTTCCAGCTGGTTTATTCCTTCTTCCACACAACAGATAGATGCCAGTGTTCTCAAAGCATGTGCATAGAGACAGCTAAAGCAGTCTTGCCTGCAGATCTTAAAAAGGGCAACCACGGCTCCTTCCTATAGTGAGACAAACAGGATCAAGAAATTAAAAAAGCAGCCATGCAAAACGGTCTTTTCAGTCAATAATACATTACATTCTCTGCTTAATGTTTTTACAGCTCTGGTTTCTCCATTTGGAATGTTACGGTTACAGTATGTTTTAAAAGCAAAAGTTGAATTAATACAGCTGTTCCCTGGAAGTGCCACAGGGGTGCAGTGGTTAGGACTGCTACCTTGCAGTGCTGGGGCCCTGGGTTCAATACCTGGGGTGCTATATGTGTGGAGTTTGTATGCTCACCCTGTGTTCATGTGAGTTTCCTCAAGACCAAAAACAAAAAAATACAATTTTATCAACTATCATCCCAGTATTTACAACGCTCACCTAATAAAAAAGAACTATTTTGCAGACTTTCCTTTCTTTGTGCTAAATTTCAGAAATACCAAGTTGGTAATGTTGACACAATTTTGGCCTTGTATTATGAGTATCTATTTTTGTAAATAAATGTAATTGAGATTCATTTTTCTAGGTGTCTGAGTTTTTTATATCCTCAGTTCAACAGGTAAAAACTATATCTGGAGAGATGCCCCAATATCACAGGACTTGCTGATAAAATGTCCCTCTGTGTTTGGTTTGGTTGAATTACCCATAACATGAGGTAACTACTATCATTATCTTAATATGATCCATTATTCAGCTGACAGAGCCCACACAGACAGAGATTATAGGGTATAAGAATGGAATGGCTAATGGTTAGACTCTGCTTTGTAGTGTTTTTGAGTTAATTCTACTCTGCCCACACAATACCTGACCTTGAATCCGATGCGAAACCCAGCTCAGCAGCTTTGTGATCTAGATTCTCCATAAAATGTCACTGTCTGCATTTTCTAAATAAGCATTCTGAATCTAAAATCAAATTAAGGAATACTTTTGCAAACAAAAACTCTTTATAATCTGTGGTAGAAGGAAGACTCTTTTTTTATCCTGAAGAAAGATTTCTCCCATTTCCTTCTTACTAACAATGCTGTAGGCTGGCTCATAGGGCACTGTCAGAACTGTGCAGAGGCTATATCATTAATACACACAATCCAGCATTAAAATAAACCAGGCTTATATGGTAGATAGCCCGGTTTATTTTAATGCTCTTTCACCATGAAAGAGTGACAGGCTTGGGGACAGAATTATTGCTATGTGCTCTACTTGTTCTACCTGTTGGCCAGTGGTTTCCCTTCATTAAAAAACATGCTCCGATTCTCATTGGAGTTACAGTCAAATATTGAAGAGCATTTATTCAATAATATAGAAAATAGAAAAAGTATTGATTGCATCTGAAGCAATAGAATCTCATCAATTAATAGAACAAACAAAACTATGAATTTAACTCACTTCTTATCCTGTGAATCATTTCTTATCCTGTAATGTTTTTTTTTTTAATTTTCTAAAATTGTCAAAAACAACAACTCACAAGGCAAAGTTCAAGCTAGATGAGCCCTATGGCCGCCTCTGTTTTGTAACATTTGTTATATAAAAGCAATAGCAGCAATGCGATTGTACAAATGTGGAATTGTGTGGAAGCTGGAGGCAGGCATTGCTTCTTATCTGTTTCCCACTTCTGTAAAACAGGGAAAAAGTGCCTGCGATTCATTCCTTTTACAGTGCCACAGGAAGTCATAAAGAGCTGTCACACAGTCAGGCATCACCAAATCTGCCTAAATTGTGTCTGACACTCCTGGGGTTAACAGTTAGCCAATGGGATCTCATTACAGAAGTGTTTTTTTTTTGTCTTTGTGAGGAAAGTGTAGTGATGTTTTTCTTAGCTCATTCTTTGAAGACCATTGCTTTTGATTGTATAACACAATTTGTCGGTACATTATTTATATACCCTCAATGCCTTATATATGTACTGTATATATGACATGTGGAATACTAAAATATAGGCAGCATGAAACTTGAGCTCTTCTTGTTGTGCTTCTTGTCTGAGGAATATGTTTAACAAACTCAAGAAACTCATTGATTACATGAACAGCACACACAACTTCAGCTTCCCTTGGGGGGGAGGAATCTTTTTTTCAGGTATTGGCATTTTCTTTCTCTGTAGAGCAATGAATAAATTATTTATAGGAAAGTCTGCTCTTATTAGCTTGACTGAATGACATTTTTCTCAAAATGATTCAGATTGTCATGTGCAGTTCAAGTGATGTGCCTTAGAAGCATACTGTACCTAGAAGTCTGTGTTCTGCCTGCTGAAGAATTTCCTAGCCCAGTAAAAATCTCAAGACTAAATTTTATAGTTTGATGCAATACTTCAATACTGAGTGGCAGGGCAAATTGATTGTTAGCCACTGTTTACCGTCTTTTGCCAGAAAAGATTATTTTTAAACCCATAGATTTTCAATGTGAAGGAAAGGGGCTTGTTTTCCCTTTGAAAGCATTATCCTACAGATATTTTTTTTGATGGTATAACACTTGTACCAATAACAATGTAATCACAAAAGAATTGCTTGACATATAAAAATGCACAGATATCTGAAACATTAATTTTTATTCTTGTTTTGATGCATTAGGTCTCTCACAGGCTATGTACAGTACTATATACAGAAAACATTTTCTGTTTGCAGTTTTCAACTCTCATATCAGAAAGCTCTGCAAAAGCTCAGTTGACTAAGATCTAATAAGAAAAGAAAAACAAGTAAACCCAGTGAAACCACAAAATAGAAATACAGTATCATTTCACTTTATATCCTTGAAGCAATTTTAATCACAACTCACTGTATGTCTTATTGATAACTTTTTTTTTCAAAAGCAAATGTTTGGTCTCCTTCCTTCATCTAACATAATCTACAGTAATTAATAGAAGAAGCAATTATTTTCAATGTTACTTGTTTCCATTCAAAATACATAGTTTAATGGAAAACCTAAAAACTCTGAACCTAGATATGTGGAAAAATGACAAAAGAAAGTGGCTCTCCAGCACAAATATAGATTTGTTTTTAGCCAGCTAGCTTGTTCTCACTCGGCTGAATTGTTACTTGAAAAATTCACACTGCTTTTGCCCCTCGTCACTTATTAACTTCAGAGGGCACTGGTGATTGTCTTTCCATGGGTCTTTAACTGCAAGACTTCCTAACTTCTTCGTTGAACTCTCTGTTTAAGAAAATATTTCACGTCATACATGTTCATTTCAATCTGTTCACTTTAGATAATGAAACCGGAAAACGTGCTCGAAATATAGAAGACATCTAAAATGATTATGTATCACCAATGCATAAAACATCCACAAGACTGAAAAAGGTGAATACTGTAGATCTTTATGACATCACCCCTAGCATGTTTCAAAGTGCATGATAGCATTACAATCATTAACATATTTGTAAAACATTTTAGTTTTTACACATTCGACATGTTTTAAATTTATATATATAAGACAGTATATATACAGTTTAAGACGTTTTTATTTCACAGACAATCCCAGCCACTGCCACGTCTCTTACATTATTTTGATAAAGAAGTGACTGTATGCCAGTCTAGAACTCAGTATCCTTAGTAATTATATTTTAGTGTTATTTCCCAGCTGATCTTTCATGCAATGACTGACTAAGGTATTGTTAATTTATTATCTTCCCAAAAGTTAATCCCTCAAAATTTGCAGATACATTAGTGTAACAGTCAATGTGTTACTTACTGTCAGGGAACAACAGGTTTATAGGTATCTACTTGCTTTTCACAAATATGGAGTTATGGTAGTGCCACCATTTTTGTATCAGCAGTTCTTTGGCTAGAAGAATGGAAACTGTCTGTCCTAGCTTCCTGTGTTTCCTCATTATTATGATTTTGCCCATATCCCCCTCTGTTTACCTCCTGCACTTCAGAATGTGGAATATAATCAGCGTATCCACAACCAAGGATATACCCATTTTAAAATCTTGAGACCCAATTATGTCTCTTGGAAGCAGTTTGTTATGTGTGCTGTTGATAGGGTTATTTTCACCTGACCTCATTTTATAATATTATCTTGCTGCAGGACTTCATCTAGTGCTTTTTATACAGCACACCACAAGCTGCAAGCAAAGCTGTCAAGAAGAGTATAAAGACATACTGTAAATATCTTATTTCACTCAAGCATAAAAATCTCAGCTCCGATATTATACAGTACTGCTAAAAATGTAAAGATATTAATGTACAGAAAATACATTGGTGACGAAGATGTGAAATATAAGAACTGTTTAAATAATTTTTAAATACATTTAAAATGCACCAAATCCAAATGTTCCTAGTGATGCATTCAAAAAGCGGTCTAAGGAGGGAACCTACTAATTTAATAATAAAATCCTGCAAAACCAGTGTTACAGGTTAGTCCCCTGCCCCATATATAGTAAATGGCAGATTTCAAGTGCTCCGAAATGTTTTACTTCCATTATGAATTTAGTTCACACACCATTTTTGCTTGAACACTCATTTGTGCAAAACAAATTAGTCCCTTAAGGTCTAAGGCTTTTAGCCCGAAACAAAACTTTTAAGCCAGCTTCCTTCCTAATACAAAATAAGTACAAATAACAACTTAAGTGACTGCAAGGCAAAGAAGTCATGATCTGAGGATCAATGGCAGCAGACCTTATATTCATTAACCCTAAAGGCAAAACAGTTCTGATTTGACCATGCCTAATGGGACTGACTCTTATTGATTTGGTGGTGAATGTGTGGGGTGTTTGATGACAACAAGGAAAGAATCTTATTATTCGTGTAGAGAGATGGGAGCTTGTACTTTAATTGCATTACATCCCTCTGTCTGTATGAAACAGAAGCTTTCTTGAAAGTTCCATTTAAACAGGGAAGTGATGTAATCCCTGCCTGCTGTGCTTTATGCCCCTGCTATTAGGGGCACCATCAACAAAAAGAGCAATTAAATAGGACAGTTCATGGCAGAGAGCACATTAAGAAGTAAGGGAAAGGACTGCTTTCAGTAAACTCACCTTTGCTATGAGGCTGCACAACTGGACACCGTCCTGCGTAAGAGTGAGCAGACTGCTGATTGCCGAACCTATGGTGTATATGTTATCTGAAGATTCTATTTGTCTCACCAAGATCTGTAAAGGCAAACAGATGTGTTAATTAAATAAATCCTTGCATCCAAATAAACAGCAATAAATAGCATTGGATCGATTCTCTCCTACTGACCTTATGCTTCCATCAGTCAGAAAACTGGGAAGTTTTAATCATTACTGAGACGCTGTGGTATATTTCAAGTATTAATACCTTTTAAAGGACAGAATATAAAATACATTTTTTTCAAGTTAACATAAAAGAATGATAAAATTCAAGTTAGTTATAGTCATCTAGATTCACAACTAAATTGATCATTCTTACTAAACTAAATTCTGTAGTATATCTCTTGTATATTTCCAAAGTTCTTCAAATTCATAATGGTGAAAAGTCAACGAAATACTATTCAACGAAGTGAAGGCAAAGATTAAGTAGTAAGACCTGGAAAATTACGTAAATGGAATCTAATTTAATTCCAAATAATGTCAAGTGTAAACTGCTGTTACCAGATCAGAATTCACTCAAGGACAAAACTAAACAGGCCAGCTGCAGAAACATTCCAGGTAACAAAATTAATAAACTCAACATCTTAGGTTTCAAATTAATAGAGTATTCATATCTTGAGTAATATGATTTTCAAACTAAATATAGAAATCAGCCACCTTACATTATGTTCCACATCTCCAATAACTGCATTTTTAAAACTCAGTTGGAAGGTTTACCTAAGAATAGCTTTTAATTAAATTATAAAGAATTTTAGAAGCTATCACGTGATTCTAACAATTTAAAACTGGTGTTGTTCTATTATATAAAAGTAGTCTTTTATTTTTTTAACAAACAACAGAAAAGCATGTATGACACCAAGTAATCTTGCTGTTTTAAAGGGTAATCAGTGTCACTATGTAATCAAAGTGACAAAGTAATTTATCTAGTCATTTATTGAAATAAGGTTTACAACTTATTCTTAGAATATAAAGTACAAATGTCTTTAAATGGCAGTACAAATGATAGCAATATGTATGTATATGTACAGTATGTATACTACTTACAATATTAAGATAACTTAATTGCCACTCATTTGTATGGAAAGACTAATGCTGTAATTTTATCAAAATACTGTTACTCTACTATTTCTAAAAAAACATTATTGCTCTATTCATAAATTGGCTTAAATTTCCAAAAGCAAAAGAGACTAAAGCTTTAATTACCCTGTGTTTTAGATAAAAATAAATGCTCTTATGAGCCTGACCATTTTCAATTTCAGCAGAGTGTACTTGAGGTCTCAGTGTTGAATACACACCACAAACCTACTAATGCAACAGAGAATTCTAATGTAAACAATTTCTTTGATCTCATCTACAGTATATTATCTCATGCTTTCTAGTGTGTCTAGATAATGATTTACAGTACGTGAGACCTGGTAAGTGTCTAAGAAATTGTACCCAGGCAAAAGGGAAAAGGTGAAACAGCAGACATTTTAATGTATTTTAATACTGTATGTATTATGGGTGATTTTGTTATCTTTCTTAATTAGACATTGTACAAAGTTGGAAAACATATTCTTCCTAACAATATATTTTCTAAGAAAAAGGTAAGAGACAGCAGGAGACTGTATGGCCAGAGTTCTAGTCTTTAGTTTTTCATCCATGGACACCACCAAGAGACTTATGAATGACCTTTTAATAATATAGCCTAATGGTGGGGTGGCTTGTTACATTTTTCTGTATTACCACAACCCTTTCCAAAGCTTTGACATTTTTGCACCGCGTTTCTTTTTTTCTGAAACACTTCATATGACAATCCAAGATTAAATTAAAATTAAAAATAAAATGAGAATTGGAACACGTATGGAACACAAATTATTAAACAATTGTTACTTGTGAACCTCAGGATTGCAAATCAAATAGGATCTTGTAGAATAATCTACATTTTAGGAACTAAAAAAGATTTAAACAATTTATTTAAATGAAACCTTTTAATCCAGACATACCATATCACCCATGTAAAGTATATTACCTATGTCTATAACATTCAGTCCTTCATTTTCAGCTCATGGTTTTCTACTTGCTGATTTAATAAAACATGTTTGTGTTTGACTGTGAAATAGAGAATGGTATTTTTGTTATTATACATGTACATATTAGAAATGGAAGCAGAAATTTATAGTGTTTTTTTCAATCTCTGATTCATTTTATTGACTCTAGCTGGCATATCTAGAAAACATAACATGATATTTATTTTAAATGCATTATCTGTTCTGAATAAAGGAAATAGAATATACAGTAGCTCAACTGATGAATGTTTAGTACTTGTACTAACGTAGAGGATGTCCATTAACTCTGCACCAGATGTACTCTGTCACCACAGCCATTGCAAACATAGAAACCACAGCATAATAACCATTGATTTAATATGGGCTCCAGTGTCTAGTACACATTTCATTCAGGTACCTTCACTTGTGCATTAATAGAAGAGGATGGAAATATGAATTGTAACATGCAGGAAAAATTAATACCTTGTAAAAGAAAACGAATACAATAATGTAGGAAACACTTAATATTGTCACAGCATCCAAACAAAGGCGGTGGTCATTTTTACTGACCTGTATCTCATTAGCTAAGACCAAATCAATCATTTGGCTGAAGGATTCACTGACATCTGTCAGTATTTCATGGACGGCTTCTTTCATAGACTTTAAAAAAAAATCATCTTCGGTGTGTATGCACCTTTGGAAGAAAGTAAATCCAATTATTTTGTTGTAATTATACAGGACACTGAAAATGTGTCTATACAGTATGTAGATACAAGTACTGTGCAAGTAGACTGTGTACAAGCAGGCTTTAGTATCTTGCTGCAACTCAAGAGTAGCCATCTAAAAAAGTTGCCTCGGTTTATGTTAAACTTAATCATTCCTTTTCATGTTGTTTGTCTTCAAATGTTAAATGCATTATATCTTTTGAACTGTTACCCTTCAAAAATGCATTTTATGTATTTACTATCCTACCTATAAAACAGTATATTTCCTTAAAATAAATCCAGCTCCTACTTCTCATCAAGGTGCACAGAGCTACAGTATTTACTGTCATTTTCTGGGAGTTATTAACAGCATTAAGATTGCAGTTGCAGTGTACAGTTTTCACCTTTTGTCAGAAAGAAAATACCTCTCTGTGATGGTTGTCAGCTCCATGCACTTCTCCAACAGGGTTTTTTCATACTAAAGGGAAAGAAATAGGGAAAACCTACAATAAGTATAATCTGTGCAACTAAACATAATAATATACTGTAGATATGTGGTCACTTTTGGAGACAGGACAGAACATCATGGACTTTAAAAATGAACTGATATTGAAATAGCTGAAATAAAACAAACATACAAATTAGAGAGGGCTCTACTCTTGCTCTTATGAGTCCCTGGTGGATAGGACCATCCATTTCACATTAACCACTTAGTCCAATTCAAGGCCACATTGAGCTGTAGCCTAACTTAGTAGACAATGTGTGCAATGCAAAATATACTCTGGACAAGACTGCTGTGCATCACAGGCATACACACATACTGTACAGTACAATTATTGAGATCCAATTAGAGTTGGAAGTTTAATGTGTAATATTGTATTAAAGCACTTCTACTGAGGCTCACATTTCTTTTTTATTTTTAAAGATGAAGTAAAAGGAAAACTGACACAGAGCAGAAATTCAATTTACATGTTTTTTTTCTAAAATTGCTTGAGGGTCAGAATGCATTTTCTATATTTAAACCAAATAAGAGGTAAAATAAAATCTAAATATTTAAATCTGCTCAAGACCATTGAAAAACACTTGTTCCGAGAAAAGTAAGGTCAGACTGAACATAATGCATTTTTTAAATGTATCCATATTCAATCATATGTTAACTAATTGTGTGACTCATTTAAGTAATCATTTCAGTTTTACAGTACATAAGTAAATGTCGTCTATGAATGTGGCATAAGAAAACATCAATGTTCTAGATAGAAGCTAGCTAGAACTTGGTCCTACAAAACTGCTACAGTACATTGAAAAATAGAAAAACCCAGTTTCTGTCATGTGGATGGGAAATTAAAACAAAAAAATCGAGAATATCAGGTGTGCCAAAAACATGTAAAGTTATTCCCATAGTGCTGACAAAATGAAATGTGTGGCCCGTAATGTGACTTCCAAAACACAACACAGAGACTGCCTTACCTTCAAAGCTTTAGTAATGGTGTGAATTATTGACCAATAAAATAAAATGACCTTTTTGCACCAGCTGAAAAAATGTCACAATGTAACTGTACAGTAACAAACAGAGTAAATTACTGTTGACTCTTAATGCTACACTGCTTCTATTATAGAGACCCGTACATAACAATTTCCAAGCTCCTACTGCAATTCCTCTATGGCACTGTGTTCAGAGATAAAAAACAACTGACTGTTCTTCATATAGTATCCATCACATCTCTTTACTTTTGGCTCATAAGAACAAGAGAACAAATCTCCACTGCTACAATACTGTATGTAGTCAAAGCTACACAATATGCAAGGAACTGTTGATACCTCTTCTGTTTCTCTGTCTCTAAAACTCTGTGAATTGCAGTCCTCTGTTTCTTAATTGTTTCCATTCAGAGATAGCATTCAGTGGGTGTTTTTGAGGTCCCTATGCTGCTCTGTTAAAATGCTTTTTGGCTACAACAGATTCTTCCAAACTTCCTGTGTTCATTAGATCAATTGCTCACCACTCTGTACAAACAGAAACCTCTTTGCCACACACAAAACGTCAATTTATCACAAGACAAATTCTGACTTCATGTGACATCTAAGTGATTATATAGTAGACCTCATTTCCACTGCTGAGCTCTAACCTTTGAAGCACAAAATGTCTAATTGAATTTGCTATGATGTTGATATTTTAGAAATATACTGTATAATTCTCTGTTTAAATATAATTATCATTATACTGTATGATGTCATGCATGTGCTTTCAGTCTAAAGGGAAGAAAAAAGTTATAAATGTAAGCTTCTTTCTCCTTTAGAATTACATATATTTGGAAGATTGCTCATCGGGGCAATTGTCCACACAAAGCAAAATAATGCTCGTAATGTTGTAGAATATTCCAAGCATTCCTAATTGTATTGAGAATATAAGTAATAACATTATCCAATTAGAAAATGCCTTTAGGAATGTTAAGTGGGAACTTAGACAAGGCAGTCAGGGCTCCCTTGCAGAGTGGGGTGAAACCAAGGGGTATCTGCAAAGGTAGAGGAGGGTTGCAGGAAGATGAATGCAAGAAGAGAGAGCTGAACTATAGTATACAGGTATATGACTTTTCAGGAAGTGCGGTCATGGAGGATTACAAGATAGACCTCAGAGATAAAAGAGACTTTGGTGACTTTCATCCCTCCTGAAGTTCGGTTCAAAAGTTTTGTGTTCAAGTAAAGAAAACTATATCTTCATTGTTTCATTACTTCAGATGTGTTTGCATTGTGAAATTAATTAAACATACTTTAACACAAAGCAAGCTGTTTACAATGAAAGATAATACACAACAATTTTGTTTGAAAAACTGGGAGAATCAAATTAGAATATTACAAGTATGTGATGTTCTTTTTATACTGTTTTCTTAAACAATGATGTTTTTAATCAGACAGCTAAATAAGTATTTGTTCAGGAAACTTTGTATTAAACTTTTGCACTCCATGCAAGATGTAATCTTTCATTCTTGTAGGAAATACTCTGGGGGAAATTGTGATTAATGTATGCCATTTTTTTCTCCTCCATTTCATAGCTTATTGATATTACAACATGAGTTACTGAAGGGCGATGGATAAACTATGAGTCACTTTGTCAATTGAATGGTTCATGAGTTCAGCAAATTCAAAATGCTGATTTACTGTATTAGATTTAAGTTTTAAGTAAAAAGTAAAAGAAACGTATTTTGTGTTTATTTTGGTGCTTGTCTTCTTTCTCAAACTAATTGTGGCAGAAAAGGTTACCTTCTGTATTTCTGCTGGGGAGTTCCTAGCAAAGGTATTGTACTCGTTGACCAGAGAGCGGACGTGGCAGTTGGCTCTCACAGCTGTGCTGTGCACTCTCTGCCACCTGTTCTTCTCCAGCTTTTGGGACATCTTGCTTAGCTCCGTGCTGATGATGAAAGCTCTCTTCAGAAGTGTCTGGAGATTGTCCCGCACCACGTGTTCCGGGTTGATGATCAGCTCGCTGTGGACATCCTCGTCCACGCTGATGGGCTTCGACTGGAGAATGCACATGCACTCCACTTCGGTCATGTACCTCAAGTCTTCCATCCAGCGCTGCACAGAATCAATCTGGATGAGGTGCATTCTAAAATAACACAGAGACATGATGATATGATTCACCAAGCACTGTGAAACTGTCCTCCTCATGTGAATTGTTTTAGAGAAGAATTGAAACTTTGCATGCCTAAGATCAAGCAAACTAAATCAGCAAAATGTGTATCATTTGTTTAAATCTTAGTGGGAAGTATTTTCTATATTGGCAATATTTTTTTACCTCTTTATTTTAAACAACCTATTTTTACTAAACTCAATCATTGGACAGTAATGAGTGACTTAAAAATTGCAGGAGTGGTTGAACCAGTAAAAAAGCTGGGAGACGCAATTTGAATTCTATTGTCTGGATATGACATGTCACAAGCAGGATTTCTGTAAATCCTTATGCCGAAATTTTGACAAGATTATCTAAAAGGTTTATGACATATAAACACATCTACCAAGCATCTACTATGCACATGGATAACACAGCATTATAGTTGTAATAACTGTATTAAGTACTATTATATTAAAAATATTAATATTAATTAATATTAACTATATTAAAAATTATAGTAACATTTGGATGTGCTAAGAGACTCTCATTTTGTTATCTTTGTCTTTGCTGTATACAGTATATACAGTATACAGTCCCTATCACTGTCATTATGAATAGATTTGAAAAGTTTAATATTTTTCTAGTTGTAGAGCAAATATTAGAAATTAGAGTTAAAATGCTCGAAAATAGCTGTTGTTCATTTTTTACCAAACATGTTCAGTTTAAATACCTTCATTTTTTTATGACATTTACTTGGAAGGCTTATAGCTAGAAATTCAACCACCAGGAAGACAATCCTGAAGAATGTTGAACTAATAACAAAGAAAAAAGCCTCTAAAAAGAATTGAAAACTTGAAATCCTTTGTCAATACATCTAAGGTTATTTGAAGGTACTTCATTGAGGACAGGACAAAGGAGCAAATATTTTTAACTGAAGACCCATTTGAATCACAAAAGCAAACACTGGGAACCAAAGGAGCAATCCTACAGGGGTTACCACGGTAAACATACCTTCTAGAAAAGACTGAACTAAACAAGTTAAAGGTTTAATTAAGATTTGATCCACTGTCAAAGATCAATTTCCTGAATAGATGGTAGCAAATCACAGGAATATATATATATTATCAGTAAAGAGACAAACAGAGCCTTCCATCAATGAAGAAGACAGATATAGTAAATAAGAATTCTGACAAGTGAATCTATAATTTATAAACTCAAATGTTTCATTAGTAATAAATAGAAAAAAGGTTATCAAAGAACTTAAATATTATCATTGTGCTCCTGAAATATACAGTAAGTCCTACAGTACCATTCAACATTTAGGAGACTGAATGGAGTCTCCTGAATGGATGTTCCTCAGTACAATCCTTCAATTTAAAAATATCTTTACAGTATAATCTTGAATAGACAACAGTATCCTCTTTAATTATGTGCTACAGACATGGACTTAAGTAGATCAAATTCTGAACATCCTCATCTAGGTAAGCTGAACAACTAATAAATCATCATAATGACTTAGTAATAGCTGTGTGGCAGTACCTTAAAGAAGTACTTTAAACAATTATTATTCATATTGCAGATAATATTATATGCCCTTTTCCAGGTAATTTACATAAAATAAACACTGAACAAAGAACAATTTATACATAAATATACTGAAAAAGACTGGAAAGGATAAGTTGACTTCCTGCATGCAGCGTATGGACCAGAAAACAGAAAAGTTAATGACAGCTGCAAAGAATAAGATGTATTTACCGTACGTAAACACTATAAGCATAATAGCTCTTATAGGACTTTTAATCATTTCAGAATGGAAAAGAAAAACTATGTGTTTATCAAGGAAGACAATTATTGTCTCTGATATCACAATGCAACCAGCTCTGGAGTAGCATATGGGAATCCTTGTGTGTTCCACACTGTAGTTTGACAAGCTTGATTAGCTTTTCATCTGAGAATTTTTAACAGAACAGGGAATTTGTAAAACCTGAATTTCACAGACCACTGCTTTTAAAGAGAATCTTTTTTCTTCTTTCCCAGTACTCTGAAAAAAGTCTAAAGGCAGCACTTTGTGCCTCAGTTTTAAGTGAACTCTCAATGGTAACAACTCCTGAAGCACATGTTTATAATAACTCTGGGCACATTGTGGATTTAGGATTTATGGTTGAGGGGGAGCATTTCAACTACCCGAGATGACATACTGCAGCACATGATCAATTAGCCCAGAAAGTACAAGAAATGGTTATTATATAATCACTTAGATGTCACATAAAGAAGCAAAAGAAAAACTCTTTTATGAAATAAAATACAGTATAGTAGATCTACCATAGTGGTATATATAGCATATAAGTGATTATACAGTATATGATACCATTATCAGTCTTATTACAGTATAATATGTAGTATAAAGACAAAGATGCTATGCTGTTTTGTGGTGTTTGTTTTGAATACTAGTGCCAATCAAGGAAATAGTAGTCCTTTACATTATTCATGGGAAGCACATTGCACATTGCAGGGACTTTTAAGTGGTCTTTGAAAACAATTTGTTGTAAATGGAATCCATTGCATTCTAGACAATTACTATTATGAAACTGAAAAAACTCCACACTAGTTAATACCAGTAGGGAGCTTGGGGGATCATATTCTTTTCATAGTGTTTATATTAATCTTAAAGGCTGAGATACTAAGTTACATCTTCTAAATTACAAATTCCTTGCTTGCCAAACTTTCAGGATTGAGTTGAACCTAAAACTTAAGAAGAAAATAATAAACTTGTATTTCCAACACATATACTGTATAAGTTGTTGCATTTATTATGATTGACAACACTACTCTTGGAAAAGCAACTATCTGTATCTAACACAAAAGTCATAAAAACAGTACTTGGTAAACAATTAAATGGCTAAATTCTGTTATTTCATACTGCAAACCATGGCCTTTCTTCAGTGGATATCAATGTGCTATTTCTTCTTTATCACAGAAATGACCTCATGTATTTGTGAAATGAGTTATGACCATTGTACTGTAGGTGCAATGTTTTAATAACCTAGAGGAACAAACATAGATACCTTATTTTTATCTACAAACATTTTAGCTATCCAATTACAGCTTTTAAACAGGAGCTGGCAACACATGGTATTTTGAATTGTTTTTAACACTAACAGGCTGTATTTGGTCAAAGTGGCTTCAAGCTACAATAGGCTGTTTGATGTCTTGGGAGGTCTAATCTTTACTTCGCAGTGCAAAGTAAAGATATCTTTAGCAAATGAATAGAACGAAAAACATGTCAAAGTTATTTCAAAGCTGGAAACAGGGGTGGAGAGGTGGTGCAGGGGTTAGCACTGCTGCCGTGTCACAGCTCTGTGGCCCTGGGTTCAACTGTGAGCCTGGGATCCTATCTACAGTGTGTGGAGTTTATTTATCTCCCCATGTTCACATGGGTTTCCTCCCACAGTCTATACATACTGGTGGGTTAACCGGTTTCTGGTCCTAGGGTGTCCATGTTTGTGTCTGTGTCTGTGTGTGCCCGGTGATTGACTGGTGTTCTGTCCAGGGTATGGGGCACCTTGATCCCATTGCTTGCCACAATACACCCCATCTCCCCTGCGACCCTGAATTGGAAGAGGTTAGAAAATGGATGGATGCTTGAAAAAATTGGATTTCCACAGAGTTACTAGACAGAAAGCATTTTATAAATATACAAACCTCTAGATGAATATGAACATATAGAATAATGGACATATCAGTAAATTAAGTTCTATAAAAACACTTTAAAAGACATTCTATTAATGAGTGGTGTACTATAACCAGAGCTTCTTGTAAAGTATCTGTAGAACTACAGTGGTAATCTCCTCACTTCTGTGTATCTATGGATTCTTGATTTATACTGTACAGAACCTTGTTTATAGAAAAAGTATTAAACATTATTTCTACCACTTATTTTAAAATGTGAAGTAAAATGTTATATACTGCATATAAATACAGACTGTATATAAAATGCATATAAACATAGCAGAGGACACTGAAGACAGAGAAGAAAAAAATCACTATTTGCCCATTTGTTTAAATTCACTTACTGTACCATTACAACCCTTCCTCTCCCACATTCAGGTCTGTGATTTAATAAATGAGTGAGTCAATAGAACCTTACTAAAGAGGTCAAACTGCAACTCTCACTTGTGCTGTGACCTCAGGGAAGCTATACCCAATACTTTTAAAAACCATTTTTGTTTCTAAACACTGCTGTGTTTATTAGCCTAGTGTGACTGAGTAATCAGCTCTAACAAGGTGCCCTCTGATCTGTGCCTCTTTCCTTATTTAACAGTTATCTCATTTAGAAAGGTACAGTAACAGCAAAAGGTGGCCATACTTATATCTGACAGTGAAAAACACACTGTAGACTGAAGATGTCTTAACACAGAAAAAGTGTACTTTTTGAATATAAATTATCTTCTATTTTTAAAAATGCAGTCTGGATTGTTGTGTGACAGTCCCGTGTGTCTTTATGTCTTCTTGTGGACACTTACATGTATCTTAAAAAATGCAGAAAGCTAAAGTACTGTATAAGAATATATATAAACAAAATCCATTTCCTGCTTTTATTTGAAAAGCATTATTTTTACATTTTCCACACCTAATTATGAAGTAGAGAGGAGACAGTGTCAATTAAATCAGATACGTTGTACTGTATATCAAAATTAATAGTCTAAGGAAAGATACCTGTATTTCATGTTCAGCACGGATCATGAGAGATGTTTAAAATGTTCCTGATGGAAAACATAAGGCACTGTCAGATACACAAGACTGTAAAAGTATGCTGTTGTAAATGTATGATTAAGTTTTCAGCAACGATTTAAAAAAAGAAATGAAACTCCATTCATGGTTAAATTAGAGACACAGAAAAGCTCATATTAAAAAGATCTGCTGTATAATCCATAAAATAACTACTTTGATTCTGAATTAAAAAAGATAGAGGTGAAAGTTTCATCACATGTTCT